TTTTTTCTATTTCTGTTAGAAGCACTGAAGTGTCGGTCTCTTATTCAGTTCAATATTTAAAATAGCGACAAGAAACCCTTTGAATTTACTTATTGTTAGCGGCCCAGTCTTAATCCATTGGTGAACACGTGAATGTCTACATATGTTGATTCTTTGCATATTGGTTTTTGTAAATGATCGAGCATATCTGAAATAAAATTATCATCACATTAAAAAAATTAAAAAAACGACAATTAAGGTAAAATAGTTTAACTGTAATTTTCTTTAAAACAAAAATCAATGTATAATCTGCTTTAGTTAAAAAAATTGTTTTGTATTACCGTACTGTAGATACTTCAATAAACAATCAGAAACCAATTAAAAGTCGAGTTTATCGATAACTTCTTGAAAAATATCTTTGTATATACAGAGTACATTAGAGGAAATAATTTTGCTAGCCGAATCTAATTTTTAATTGCCTATTAACATTCCGGTCCCTTACTTTTATGTTGATGAGATGAAAAAATATTTTTGCTAAGATATTTTGGGAATTTTTTTTAAATTTTTTTTAGTGTTTTGTTTTTGTGTTGTTTTATTCTACTGGGGGGAGGGGGTCAATAAATAGTACATATTTACAGATATAATGTTTTTAAAATATAAAGGGGTTTCTCACTTGTCCAATTAGAGAAATTAAAAAACGTGAATACGTTTTTGCATTGTAGTAAATGATTTAACTTCAAAAAGAAATTTTAAATTTCTGAGATGTTTATAGTACTGCATTTTTTTTCAAGGCAGGTATTGTGTCAATAAATCAATTATAGCATATCAACGCCATAAAAGCCTGAAACCCAATCTTTTTAAGACAGTTTGAATAAGAGCAAATTACTTTAACGTGTAGCTTGGGTGTATAGGTTATGTTGGGTTGATGTGTAAGTGCCGTATTTAAAAGTTTCATTTATTTGATAACAAAAAGTCATTTAAATACACCTTTTTGCTCTATTGCCTACTTCAGAGTGAACATTGGATTAATTAATTAATGTTTGGTTACGCCGCCTCAGCACAAAAAGGCTTCATCGCGGCGGCTTAATAAGAATTGGATATCTACGATCCTGAATTGAGTTCAGTCGCAAACAAAAAATAGCAACACACGATCAGTATCATACAGTTAACATCAAGGATACGCCCACCACCCCCTCTCCTCCAAAAAAAAAAACGTTTGATTATCAACATCTACAGAATATCTCATCAACTAATCGCATTGGAATATTAAAACTAATTTCAATAATGCCTTTGCTTTTACTATGATAAATGCACTAGGCTATTCACTCCTTTTCTTCTAAATTTTGTTCATAGTCTAAATTAGTTTTTCTTCACATCGGAAAATTGTGCTTAAATTTCTTACCTTCTTTTTTGTAGAGGGAAAAAGGGGGGTAGGGCAGGGGTGAAATAATCTAAGATAAATTTTTAGGAAATTCACATGCAGACGGGAAGTGTTTCTGTGAATTTTAAACTGATATACATAGAATAATCAAAGCCACGAGCCAACCCAATTACCTGTAGGTTAATGTATGACAATATTAATATACTCTATTAATAATATTTTATCAGTTTCATGAAGACAGAACTGCCGGAAGAGCGAACATTTTACCTGTTTGTTTCAAGAACTATCTTCTTCATAAGATTAGTTGTAAACATGAGCATGAAATATGCTATTGCAGGAGCTCCTCTGTCTGGCATATTCTTTACACCACTTTCGCCAATAAATTCTGGGTTTTCAGTATTGGAAAATACGAAACCAAGAAGTTGTCATATTCGCCATGTTTTCCGTATTATGCAACGCTCCCCTTGACGTAATAATTCTTAGACGACTTTCATATGCGTGTATTTTCCCGTAGTTATCCTATGTCACAATGTTAATGGTATTTGGGGAAAAGAGGCAATTTTGTTTATGCACAGAAAAGTTAATAGGAAGTACTAGTAAATGTAGATTTGACAGTATACCTACGTTTGTTTGTTCCAGCCCGGTACCTGTTGTTGTTGTGAAAGTGACGTAATAAAAGTCAACGTCACACTATTGATATCGGTACAGTATAAGAAATAAATTTGTTAAATTGTTTAAATTTAACTGTCGTTGTTATCTTACTAAACAGAAATATAGATTGTTACCCTTCTTTTGCAAAAAAAATTGTGTTTTTTTTATCTGACGTCATCAGACATGGTTGTCTTTTTCATGACGTCACAATAAAAAATTCAGAAGAAAAGTTGACGTCATAATTAAATTTTGACCAATCATTTGCTGAGAACAGAAATTTCGCTAGTGAGGAGAAATATTTTCCTCACACCGATCAAGAAATGTGAAAAAAGCACAAAAAAAAGAGAAATTGATGTCTTTCTATCTTTTTAGCATGAGTCTTATTATTAAAAAAAATAATATCCAAATTGGCCGTCCTTTAACAAATAAATTAAAATAAATATGATAATGCTTAATTGTCTGATACTAGTATTAGTTTTTTCTTCCGAAGTTTTTTCACAGATAAACCTAGATTATATATGATATACAGAGGTAAAAAGAAATATAATGAGTATCTCAAAATTAAAAATAAAAGTTCAAGTCTAACGTTCTGTCCCCCCTTATGATACCTCTTTTGAACTAAATTCCGAAAGAAAGACATTATTTGACATTGTAGTTTGTTGGCCTTACACATCGATGTCAACATGCATGTGCACATAATGTACACTCATTAAGCATGTTTAGTGTGTTTGTTTGAAAAACCAATAGCGAGTTCAGCTGTAAATTTGACTGGATTAATTACCTGGAAAAAATCATTCATTGTGTTTACATATTTTTTTTTATGAAGTACTCCTGCAAAAGTGAATGCAAATATTACATACGTGTACAATGGTAACATAAAGTGTTGTCCTTAGAACATCAAGCAATGTATACCAGACTTGCTTTTTAATCTCTCTTATTCAAAGCATTTTCATAATACATGAAGTTAGTGTGACTTATTTGTGTTCCAAAAAAATAATTATTGGCTTAGTCTAAGCACTCAAACACTGCACTGAAATACTAAATATGCCTAGTTATATTTTTAGAATAGAAGAAGAAATGAATGAGATCGAATCTTTCTCGTTAGTATTTGTTCTCGAGTTCATTATAAACCATTTTGATTATTTTCCATTAGTTTAGGCTTTTTTTACAATTTGAGTCCATTCAGTAGAAACTGTATGGAATGAGACAAAATTTAGTGTTATATTTAGTTTAGTTATTAAACATACACAGATTGCAAATCAATTTCCTTTTATTTCAAATTATGAAGAATTTACATTAAGAATACTTTGAGTATTATTTCTTTTGAATATATATATGAAAAAGGTATCAGTATTGCATGGGAATTCAACATTTTAACCCTGTCTAGATCCAGTATTTATGCATAGTTTGGCTAGCCCTGGCCTTTATGAAGTAAAAAAAAATATTTCTGTGTTGGTGTTATTTGGTTACAGCAGTAGAAATATATACAAAAGTATTAAGTTGACTTGTGGAATAAAATATTATAGCCCAGAGTAATAGCCATATTTCAGTCCTGGAACTGTTTTAAAAATGATAAAACATGTTTACCTGATTGTTTTACATATGTCTGTAGTATAAATATATTTAGTAAAAAGATAATAAATTATTTTCATTATTTTCACTTGTAAATAGCAGCATATGGTGCTAAATATGTATATAATAGTACAAATAAGTTTGTTTATGAAAAGAGTAAACAAAGGGACGTAACTCGTAAATTACTATCGAAAACGCTTCGTCAAAAATTTCTACACATCTAAGTGGCACATTTGCGTATTACAGCGTATTAAGTGGCACAAATTTTACACACGGGCAAGTTCATAAAAAGCCTCATCACATATTTTAAATTCAGGATAGGTTCCCCAGAAATTAAGAAAGAATTTTCAACTTATATGGCGGCTAACTACGTAGTTACGACATGACAATTTTGCTATTGATGGTAAATAGTAGCCAATGAACCAACAAAAAAATGTTAATTGCAAATGTAACGGTTTAGAATTAGAGATAAGATACACATTTTTTCTAGAGGTTATTGATGTATAAAGCTGGCGCTGACTCGCACACTTTTCATAACAGTCATTCTGACTTTTATTCAGTTTGAGAGTTTATCGGCCCGGTTCACCATATTCACACAGCAATAACCTCCACTTGTTTACTCCTATATTCTAATTGTACGTTCTTTCAGTATATACCCGTGGTAAAATATGAATATATTGATTGTCAGCTGGTCGGAACGTCATGATTTGTTTTGGCCGATGTAAGAATATAAGCATTATATGGGAAAATGCATGAATGTGAAACTGAAAGTTATTGAAACACGGAAAGATAAAACAAACGATACATATACATGATTAATAATACAATATTATACGGGAACGGCAAATGTTTGCCTTCACCTAGAGCGCCTCGATCCAAAAGATTTGACGTACTTGTCCTAAAAGAATAGAACTAGTTCATGGGAACTTGAATTTATACTAATTTTACCACGGTTTTATACTTTATGCCGATATTTTACCTCTCGCGGTTATATATTGAGCATTGAGGGCCAACACGTGGTATTTCTTTAATACTCGTCTACATGAATCAAATTGGAGTTCCTCGATTTAAGCAGTTGGACGAGCAAAGCATAAACGATATTTATGAGCATTGAAAATACAAAGATACAATACGCGTCAAATCTTTATGCCTGGGATTAAACAAACTTATTGTTTCGGATTATTCAGCAGACATTGCATATCGGAATGTTATCCACTTGGATTTGAAATGTATGTAACCAGCTAATGTGAACTCATGTCGTTCTTCAATCTACTTTATGTTGCTTTATTTCTCACTTAAGCTAAAACTCATGTATACAAAATTATGTTGCACATATTTTTTTCCAGTACTGGACTACCTTTAAAGAGTCAACAGGTGCAGGAGGCTCTTGCTACCCTTTATCCTAAAATATCAGAAGTATGCAACCATTTGAAACCTCAAAGGGACCGATGTATATCCAGTTATCATTATCGAATGCCAGACGGGTCGTGCAATAATCCGTACACTGGTGTCCTAAAAGGTGCTTCATTAACAGCTCAGGCAAGGTTTGTGGATCCAGAATATGGGGACCGTAAGTTAAATTGTAATTTAAACAGCATACCTGCCAAATGTCAAACATGTGTAAACCAAGTTTAACCGTGTTTTTTTTTATTATTTTTATTCATTCTCACGGATGTGAGCATACTAAACATATAGTCCAAATAATTATGACGTCTTGAAAGGCTATTTTATTTGTTTGCTTTGACGCCGTACTTTGACTAGCTAAACATATAGAAGTCTTTTGGTTTTTTTATTGTGATATTGTGAGGAATAAACGTATATAATTCTAATCAATTTATTCAGTAATTAAATTAAAAACGTATACCTCGACGAAAGAAACTTATCAAGATTGCAGAAGTCGATACATGAATTATTACAAGTAGATCCATGTAAACGCAAACCTTCTGAATGTATTTTTGAGACGAAAACTGAACGCAAAAAAGGGAACATGATGACCCTAACAGTTCTAATCATGTGGGTTTTTTCAAGTAAACGTTTTAGCTGATTAGGTGAATTTTAAGTTTGTCTCCGTAAGTGATTGTTTGGAGAATTTGTAGAAGAAACTTGAGAACGGGTTGAAGCTGTCGCTGTTCGTAATGTCGTGCACAAGCAAGATATTCGATGGAAAAATTTCCATCTTGAAAAAAAAATTAAATCAAAACGTACATGACGTAACCAATATGAAATCTAATTAAAGTGACTTAAAATCGTATGCAAGAGTTTTAAAACCACCTGCAAATTACAGTATATGAAGATTTTTCATAAACAAAAACAAAACACCCAAATGAAAACAAGCCTCCTATTCTTTAAACGATAGACAAATCATTGGCCTGCAACTAACACATCGTGAGCAAATTATTTTGAGATCGTTTGAAGCTTCCAGACATCAAAATAAACCGAGATTTAAGATTCCCACCCCAAGGTATCAATACAAGTGTAACTATTGCATAGACGGGTGTATTGTAAAAAAAAAGAGAAACTGTTGAAACGAATCTCATCGAAAAACATTTAAGAATTTTGTAAACGTATACATTTAAAATGATCTAACAATGAATTGCTGAAAAATAACGCCAATATACGGAATAGTCTCAAAACGATTAGAAAAGAACGAGATACAACGCATTTGGCTGTAGAATTGTTGAAAATAAATAATTTTAAACAAACAATCGTCAAGTTTTGTGTAAGATACAAGTACGACTTGTTTAGATATGAAACTTCTGATAATTCCCGGATTAGACAATGTATTAATAATCTGCAAATGTGTATTGAATTGGCGTTCGAGAAAACTTTCTTAAATAAAATGATTACATAGAAAAATGGGTTCGTGTTTATTTATTATCAGATATATGCACAAAACATTTGTTTTTCTGTTAGCTGATAATTTAGGATATATTCCAAGAATTTATGGTAAAAATGGAAAATTGACAAGTCCAAGAGAAATTTCGAATGTGGTATTGAGTACGACAAAAGATTTTAGGTCCCCTAGAAGTACAAGATACACTCTTACTTTAGTTCACTTTGCACAGTTTGTTGATCATGACGTCATCAAAACGCCGGCAACTAAGATTCCTGATTCTACTCCTAATGGTAAGTAGGTCAAGAAAAATGGTTTGATCATTAAAATGTTATTTAATGCATGTTTAATTATATATGGAAACTATACTGATCGAAAAGCAGTTATACAAATGTTTTTTTGCATTTTTAATCATACATGAAAACTAATCTGATGTTTTATCTGAAAAACAGTTATACATATGTTTTATATAGATCATTTTATAAATCGTATAACATCTGCTGAAATTGACTGTAATGATTATATGTTGATATAACGGACTGACCTGATAGGGCGCCGATCTTTATTTGTTTTTCTTGGGTATGCCATCAATGGACTTGCACGCCGTTTTAAAACCAAATAAGGTAAAATGGCCTCCCCGGTTGTGTTAATGGAGGTATATACATATGACGATGACTTGTTGCTTGAATATTGTATATTTCTATGTACTCCTGTGTTGCTCATCGTTTTTTCACGGAGAGTCTCATTGCTACTTTCAAAGTCAATGTTGCTGCATTTTACATGCTTCTGCAACGAGAATAAAACAAATTAATTTTTTCATCTTTTTAAAGCCTTTCAAATAAAGTCACTGTTTGTCTTCTTCCAACCTGAAGTAAAACCCTTGCTGAAGTATACGTAGTTCGTCCGTTTGTTTGTGCGGGATGTAAAAGTACGCAGCCATGTTTTGTCAGAATGAGAATGTTAAAAGAAAAAGCAACGTTCTATGCACTTCAAGATCCATTGCAACAACTCTTTGAGCGTTCCGTAGGTGGCCTGTTGCAATGCAACATTTCTGTTCATATCCAATATACCCTCATTTTTTCAGTGGCAGTCTAAATTTCCCCGACCTTCATCCAGGTCGGCCTCAGTTATAGGACCTACCTTAAAACAAGTTACCTTACTCTTCCTTTCATTCTTATAGATATGTTCAATGAACAGAAAATAGAAGATTGTGATGAAGATTGTGTTAAACCTAAGTATGTATATGTATTTGTCAATAGATAAGATATTGTTCTCATATTTTCCATATATTTTCTTGTTTTTCTTGCAATTGAAGAGCAGTGTAATTACTATATATTCGGAACAACATATAGTTTACAAAATAGTTAATTTAAAAAAAAATAAGAATCCGTTTAGAATTTTCCTCGGAGTTCGGTATTTTTGGTATTTTACTACCTAGTTTATATTTGTAAATGAATAACGATAAATATTACTTTCAGAGAGCATTGTTTTCCATTTGAAATTCCAGATGATCATTTTCAGAACGAGTTTCGTACCAAATGTATGCACTTTGTGAGGAATAAACCTGCCCCACCAGATTGGTGTTTGCCAGGTAAAACTTTCGTATTACATAAAGTGTGATCTGTTAGCGGATCATCTAGCGTTTAATTCCAAATTCCCTTTTTCCAAGCATTTATGTATTAAATAGGCAAAAAGATATCAACGGGACATTCAAATCATTAGTCAAACATAAACTGACAACACCATCGCATAAAAAAGCAAAAAGATAAACAACAGTATACAAAAAACAATAAAGAAAAATAAAGACTGAACAACACGAACCCAACCAAAAACAGGAGATGAGCTCGGGTGCTTCGGAAGGTTAAGCAGATCCTGCTCCACATGGTGCACACGTCGTTTTGCTCATAGTAGTACAAACCCGGAGACAAGTCTAGATGGCAGGTCACATTAGGAGAAAAGAAGGGCGGGATTGTGGTTACACCGATTGGAACATATCCGTCGTCATCTATGAAACAGATATTCCGTAACGGTCAACCAACTCGTGATGGTTAGATACTTAAGTCAACTGGCAATGCGCTTGAAAACCAGAATAACCTTTTTGCGTTCCCATTTTTATCTTATATTCTCTTGATCCAAAATTATGTAGTTGCTACTTAGTTGCTTTGAGAAAAAGAGAGGTCGAAGAATCCAAAGGCATAATCAAACTTATAAGTCGATGAACTGACAACACCAAGGCAAAATATCTGACAAAAATATTAAAAACAAAACATTGAAAACTGAACAATTAGCAACAGGAACTTCACCACTAAATAGGAGTTATCTCAGGTTCTTCGAAAGGGTAATCAAAACCTGCTCCATACTTGGTTTTGAAAGCCAAGGTCAACCTTAATATTTATGACGGCTTTGTGTTCCAAAGATAAAAAAAAAGGACCTAAGGTCTGTACTACATTCGTTTGTTTATGTTTTGGCGTCTAAAGCAGTCATTTCAGTTTTCAGCTAGATCACATCTATTAGGATTACACCAAAAGGTAAAATAAAAAATACCGAACTCCAAGGTAAATTCAAAACTAAAAGTCCTTCTAAATTGGGAGCATAATCGAAACCTCAAACACATCAAACGAATTTAAAACAACTGTCATTTTTTTGATTGCAAAAGACATTCCTCTTTGTAAAAAATGATGGATTAACCTTGTTTAATAGCTAGCTAAACATTCTACTTGTATCACAGTCGCACAGAATGACGTTATATTGCGAACAATGTGTGAGCAAAACAAACAGCGAAATAAATAAAAATGAAAAACATTGGTATACCTCAATATTTTTTAAAACTCTTTTAACAAACAAAAACAAAATGGCGAATAGATCATCTATAGACAAAGCACTTAAGCAAAAATGAAAGACAAGAATACAAAATAATTACCATAGCACAATGGCGGGATGTATTAAAACCGAGGCACGCAAAAGGATATTAACAAGCATAGGCTGCAGTAAAGGTTAAAAATATACGAAACAAAATATAAAAGAACACTAAATAATACGTAATTTTGATGATAAACAACCAGTACCTTAAATCAATACTACAAGACCATCATGGTTAATTTATGAAGTTGATACGGAATATTTATCACTAAAAGAGGGACGAAAGATACCAGAGGGACAGTCAAACTCATAGATCGAAAACAAACTGACAACGCCATGGCCAGAAATAAAAAGACAAACAGACAAATAATAGTACAGATGACACAACATAGAAAAGTAAAGACTAAGCAACACGAACCCCACCAAAAACAAGGGGTGATCTCAGGTGCTCCGGAAGGGTAAGCAGATCCTGCTCCACATGTGGCACCCGTCGTGTTGCTTACGTTATTACAGATTCGGTAAGTAGTCTAATTCGGTAGGTCACATTCGTGAAAAGGGAAGGGTATTGTAGTTACGACATAAAGAACATATCCGATATCATCTGTGAAACGGTTATTCCATAACGGTCAACCAACTCGTGATGGCGTCCGTAAAATTCACGAAGGGATGATTTCAACTTCACCATTTGAAACTCTTGGTTTAATAGCTTCCTTGTGAGCAGCAATCTTCTATCAAGGAAATCATGATAGGAAATACAAGCCCGTTAATATCGTATCAATTGGGAGATATATACTCCGTATGCAGGCGCTGCTGGAATGTTGCTACATAGAAATGGAAAGTCCACAATTGGGAAGCTGAAATCATCTTTTTTGTCGTAAAGTTTTGTTTTCAACCGACCTTCATTATCAATTTCTAGATGTAAGTCAAGATATGAGGCAGACTTAATTGTATCTGTAGTATCCTTTATCTCTAGTTCGATGGGATAGATTCGTTCAACATAGTCACCAAATTTTGTATTTTTTAGTGAGAGAACATCATCTATATAGCGGAACGTAAAGTTAAAGGATATTGCTGACTTCTTATCTTTCTTCCTAAGAAGTTCCTGTATGAAGTCAGCCTCATAATGCTAAAGAAACAAGTCGGCAAGAAGAGGGGCACAATTGGGTCCCATTGGAATTCCGACAGTCTGTTGAAAAACACGTCCTCCAAACGTAGCAAATATGTTGTCAATCAAGAAATTAAGCATCTTGATAATGTCAGTTTGAGAGAAATTTTTGTTTGAATCTGAGTGATTCTTTACAAAGTAGGATTTATCCCTCCCCATGACAAGATACTTGTATCTACGTTCGCCATTCTTTTTAATGAAACTTGGTAATACCAACTCTTTCAATTTGTCTTTCAGTTTGGAATGGGAAATACTTGTGTAAAGTATAGAAAAATCAAATGTTTCAATCCGATTGCAAGATGAGAGAGTCTTAGATTGTATGTACTCTAAAAGATCTGCAGAATTTTTTAGTCTCCGTCAAAATGTGTTGAAGTACTGCAATCAGCCAATCAAAACTTCTTACCTTCGAGTTTCTTTTGCTTGTAGCGTTTACTATGTTTAAACCTCTAAATGGTTTTAAGCCTTGCGAAGAGTACACTACTTGAGTAAAGATGGAGTCGTCTGCAAGGGGAGTGGAAACAATGGTTTGTCATTGATAAAACAAATGTAAATTCTAATATAAAAATTACATACTATCACTTGTAGGTCCAAGACAACAACTAAACGAACGAACTGCTTTCCTAGATTTATCGGCAACATATGGAAGCAGCCAGATACGTGTTGATGAACTACGGCAATGGAAAGGTACACATAGATTAAAAAGTTTTATCAGCTTATCAAAATTATACAATATGTCATATCTAGGCTTCCACAGCCGAATACACGATATAGGTTTTGCTCATTGTTGAAGGCCGTTTGGTGACCTACATATGTTCATCTCCGCTTCATTGGACTCCGTTCTAACGTGGTCTCATTGGCAACCATAGCACATCTCCTTTTTTTTTTATTTACATGTATATTTTTGCAGATCAAAACGGATAGTCCATAACCACACATAAAATAAATATTTTACTACAGTAAATGCACAATCTGATTAAAGCCAGTCCCCACTATCCATTTGCAAACGCAAGTAGATTGTGAAGGCTGCTATATGCATAAAATCATTAATTTACAAAATGAATGGTAAATTCCCTTTAGGTAATGTCGCATAAATTATCACAAACATAGAAGTGCAGACATTTGTTACTTGCATGAAATAAGTATATTCTTTGAATGTATTTTGCAATGATAGAACTTGTGAATTTAGAACGGTTTCTCTGTCATGCTTAGTGATTACTTTCATTGTTTTGCTATACCTTTCATCCTTTCATATCATGTCATCTCTTCCACGTTTGAATTAAATGTTGGATTTACAAAACAATTAGAATCGAGAATCAACGTTGAAGAACAAATATGCACATTTGGTTCTATTCAATTTGTACCACTCAATGTAATACAAATAAAACCTGTGTAAGAGTGTTGTTTACATGTTGATCTGGCTATTATTCTTCGTTGTGCCATTTGTTTTTAAAACCTTTGAAAAACTTGCATGGAAAAACGTTTTTTTTCCCCTATATTTATAATTTATAACTGGTAAAGAAACACTTGTATATCAAAATTTCAATACTTTATTGTACTGTACAGGAGGACGACTCAATGCGAGCAAAGACGATCTACTACCTGACGGCCCACCTGTTGGTGATTGTCTACCAGATCAAGTTTGTTTCAATTCGGGTGAGACATTTTCCTTTAACTTAAAGAAATATGGTTCCGTTTCTTTCCTCATATGTAAGCTATCTGGGTTCCTCCTTGGTGAATTGTAACCACTACAAATGTCTACAGAGCCCTTACTTTAAAACATAGAAAAATAATTCAAAAGAGCTTAAGAGCTATCTATTCGATAATTTAATTTTACCAGTGTCCTTACAATAGATTATGTACAGTCTGTTATCTATCAAAACCAGACTTCGTAGATACAGTGGTCTATGTAAGTCATGCAGAGAGTTGTGAAATAGATATTTACAGTCTGTTATCTATCAAAACCAGACTTCGTAGATACAGTGGTCTATATAAGCCATGCAGAGAGTTGTGAAATAGATATTTGCTTATCAAATTTCAAAGATATTTTCTAAAACATTCAAGTAAAAGTTGTCCTTATGAATGAGTTTTCAAACATTTTTTTGTGCTTTGCGGTGTTGTTGATTAAAAGGATGATAATAAAATTGAGAATGGAAATGGGGAATGCGTCAAAGAGACAACAACCCGACCATAGAACAGACAACAGCAGAAGGTCACCAACAGGTTTTCAATGCAGCGAGAAATTCCCGCACCCGGAGGCGTCCTTCAGCTGGCCCCTAAACAAATATATATACTTCTTCAGTGATAATGAACGCCATACTAAATTCCAAATTGTACACAAGAAACTAAAATTAAAAATAATACAAGACTAACAAAGATAAGACTACCGTTACTAATGACTTAATTTTATTTTTTTATGTCCTCATTTTCCAGTAGCAGTTCAAATTTTCCATGACATTCATCCTGTATGGCCTGTATTACAAGACATACCTATTGTATTGTTAATTTTTTCTCGTCCTGAATATGCCGGAGATATTTGCTACTGTACGTTAATCAACCAAAAATCAACAATCAAATAATCTTGTATGTGCAGGACGTTTTTATCTCCCAATACTAGGCTTACGATGTAACGCATCATCACATCCATATGAAAATACCGAATTCCGAGGCAAATTCTAAAAGGGAAGTTCACAAAAAATGACAAAATCGAACGCTATCAATCAAAGGAACAAGTGTAAAACAACTGCATATGTTTGACATGGTACAGGCCTTTTCTGATGTAAATGGTGGGTTAAACTTGGTTTGATAGCTAGGTTAACCTCCCACTTGGAGGACAAAACCAGAAAAAAAACTTTTTGAGAATTTGCTGGTAAGGGAAAGTCTCTGTGTCAACTATTGCTTATGATTTAGGGGATAAAGATATAGCTGCTTTTAAATAGTGATTAACCTGATTTCCTCTCGCATTTTGATCTTTAGTGTTTGGTAGTGAACACGGAAAGCTGTGTGACAGATATAAACACTCAGTTCTTTAGTATAAATAGTACGGGAAATCGTACGATTTAAGCACACCTTTGTGGATTTTTTAAGATAAATATTTTAATAGACAGCATCATCATGAGGTAACAAATGCAATAAAGAATATGAATATATCTTTGTTACCTCGTAAACTTACTAACAACGATTGCTTCAAAATATAGATGTCCTGGAATAAGGGAGCAACCAAGTAACTTCAAGGGGGGGGGGGTATGTTTTTTCGTCTGAGTCAGAAACATTTTTTTTAGTTTTTCGACGCTATCAATCAAAGTATTTTTTGAAAAAAATTTACACTCTAAGGTATGTGAAAAATCTGGATCAGAATATATTTTTTTAGGAAAAAAACCATAACCCCTCCCCCCCCCTTATGAAGTTAAATGATCGTTCTCTAATATAATAAAACAGAAAGGTATATGTTCTTCATGTAACATTTATTTTTAGGGGATTACAGATTCCAGGAAATTCCAATGTTGACAGTCATTCACATCGTTTTCCTACGTGAACACAATAGAATAGCAGGAATACTCAGTAAACTAAACCGTCATTGGAACGACGAAAAACTGTTTCAGGAGTCCAAAAAAATTCTGACTGGGATATACCAACATATTATCTACAACGAATTTTTGCCATTGCTTGTAGGTAGAGACATGGCATATGGTTCAAATTTGATCAGCTCAAAAACTGGTCATCGTAATTCTTTCAGTGCTTACGCTGACCCAAGTACTTTAAACGAATTTGGAGCAGCTGCGTTTAGATTTGGACATTCTTTAGTTGGACGCCATACTGGTTCGATGGATAGAAATTTTAAAATTAAAGCTTCTGAAGAAATGAGACGAGATTTTTTTAATAACGACAAAATGCGTGACTTAAACATATATGGTCCAACTCGAATGGGTCGATGGATGGCTGAAACACTGATGCGAAAAAGAGACAGATTTATATCGGACCAGATTAGAAATCATTTGTTTGAAACAAAATTTGATGGCCCTAGTGATGGATTTGACCTTGCATCACTTAATATACAGAGAGGAAGAGACCATGGAATTCCAGGTTATAATAAGCTAAGGATGTACTGTGGTCTGTACCCAGCAAATGTATTTAACATTGGACCCATGGGATTTCGTGATCATGATTACGAGACAGTAAAGAAACTGTCACAAGTTTACAGGTAAATGTCTCTGAAATGATAATTTCTATTGATGTGTAACTGAATTACGCTGTAACGCTTATCAATACAAAATAAAATTGATAGTGAACAGATACCTATCGATTATAAGGTATCTGCATACTAATATTTTGTCGATATCTGCTGCAATTTATTGTCGACTGAGCGCAGGAAAAGAGTTCAAAAAGGCTTCATATTGTGTCAATCAAATTAAATTACTGGAATGTGAAAATGTGATATTTTCAAGACGGACGCACTACGCATGTGCTAAACATAGTTTGAAGAAAAAATATTTGGCGTTTATCATTTTTTTTTCTGTTGACGAATGCCATTAGAGAAAGTTATCCTGCATATCCTTCAAAAGCCCTTTTTATCTTGGTTTAATTTCTCTGTTTGGTCTCAGTAATTTGTTTTCTTGATTATTGCAAGTATTTTTATCTTGGTGTTTTTCTTTCGTTCTTTTTGAACATGATATTATCTGTTCTTGTTTGGTTTGTGATTTATGTCCTCTGATTTGCAATACTTTTCTCAGTATACATATTTACATTTACTCGGTATAAGATAGATTTAATGCAGTTTGTATATTTTAATAGGCATCCCAATGACGTAGATTTATTTGTTGGAGGGATTACAGAAAAACCAAGCTACAATGGTGACATACTTGGCCCAACATTCAAATGTTTGATAGCACAACAGTTTCAGAGGTACAAAGAAGGTGACCGATTCTTTTACGAAAATAATTTCACCAACACCGGTTTTACATTAGGTATGTTAATAATGAACAAATATTACTTGAAAATAAAGAGTTATAATTGGGAATAGATTAGTAGAAGGTTAAACTTAGCAAGTCGAAGTTTGAAATGAACAAGTTGCAGTTGGTCAAAGGAAAGTCGTAGTAGAAAATGAACAAGTCTTAGTTGGACAAAGGCAAGTCGTAGTAGAAAAAAAGTAAAATAACAAAAATACCGAACTTTAAGGAAAATTCAAAACGGAAAGTCCTTTATCAAATGGCAAAGTCAAAAGCTCAAACAAATGGTAATCAACTGTCATATTCCTGAACTGGTACAGGCTTTTTCTTATGTAGAAAATGATGGATCAAACCTGGTTTTACAGCTAGCTAAACCTCCCAATTGCATGACAGTCGCATAGAATAAACGCACATATTATCATAGGAAATGAATAAGTCGTACTTGAAAATGAAAACAATACTTTATTAATGTGTTGTGTCCGAAAAGCTGTTCTAGGTTCACCTTCATAACGCACGAATCTAAATATTTAGTTTCCCAAGGGGATAGACATATGATCACTTTGGTATTCTTCCGAGCGCCAGTAAACCCCTTGCCAAAGTGAGGTGTCTATTTGTTTGTTTTAGATGTATAAGTACGCAACTACGTCGTTCAATATCAGGACTTTAAATCCAATATCTCTTATAGAAAGCGTAAGAACCCTTACAACAACTCTTTAAAGCGCCCGAAGGTGCCTGTTGAACGGCAAATATTTGTTTTTTCCAATAAACCATCATTTTTTTAGTGGCAGATTAAATTTCCGAGACCTTCATCCCGCACGGCCTCTGTTACGTGACATACCCATTATTTTAATTGGTAATTTGTTTTCGTCCTGAACATGCATGAAGTTTTTGCTGCTGCACGTTAGGCAAATATCAATCAATCATTCTCAATATTTGAAAGCCAAGGATATATAAGTACCGAACACACGAAGAGGAATTTGACTAGAATTGACCTAAAAATAACTCAAATTCATCTTTGGTAAATTTTTCTGTTGGAGTTGGAACCTTATTTTCATGATATTTTGTTTATATGCGTTAACAGAGAATTTTAGAAAGGTGTGTTATAAATCATAACAGCACCGCAGCACTGACTACGGAGTTGATAATATCATCGGGGACTAGTGATATAAACGTTTAACCTGTGTTACACATGTGAGAAAATCGTAGTTCTCAAGTGATGAGCACAAACGTTAAACACACGTTGAAGAAATTTGCCTGTGTAATAGTCCACCAGCAGCGGTATCGACCAGTGTTAGAAAATAAAAATAGCACTTTAATAATATTATGTGTGTGAAACGCTTTTTCTGATAAATTCATCAGGATCACTCAAAGCCGAAAATTTGAAAGCCAATGATGTATAAGTACAAAAACACTGGACAAGCTATATGACCAAAAGGGACCTTCAAAATTATAGACTATCCATGTAAAGTCAACTTAGCCTATGGAAATTTAACCTTATTTTTATAATGATTTCTAAATTTATCAAAGGAAATTTAAGAAAGGTATCATATAAATCGAGTTATGAGTTTGAGTTTCCCATTCGTATCGACCGCCTATCTTTTAGCATATTTTACTACGGATGCAGATGAAAATTGGTGTTTGTTACTACATTGAACGTGTTGTTTAAGCTCATTAAATATTTCGGGTACATTACGAATTGAGGTAATCCGTTCTTGGTTAACAAATACATTTGATTTTTGGTATTTTTTTTTTTCGTTTTTTTTTTGTTATAAGACGACTTGTTTGTTTAAAAATTTTTCTCGAAAAAAGAGTATGAATATCATTATTTTGGGTAGATTTTGTTTTTATAATTCTTTATTTTGTATTTCTTCATCTCATACAATAATTATATGCATTGCTTCCTATTAAAGAAGGAAACAATACATGTTTTATAATTATGACCTGTTAGTGTCAGCGCTTATATTATATTATAAAAAAAACATTAACTAATATTCATATTTCCCTTCTTTTGGAATGCATGTTACAATGCAATGTCTTTGCGAAATGCATAAAGAGCCTTCTTCAAACCTATAGTTAAAAGAATTAAATAAACAGAATTTAAAGTCATTCCAGAAAATTTTATAAAACTCGGCTGTGTACCCATCCACCCCTTGTGATTTATTTTTTTTTTCATGTTTTTAAATGCGTTCAGACATTTCCGATTTGTTAATTTTTCTTCTGCTTCTTATCAATTGATAAAAGAGCTATTTTTGTTAAAATAAAATGTTTTCATGTTCCATGTTACAAAATGCATTTTCATTCAAACAAAAAAATCTGAAACTGACATTGTCAAGATGCTTGATTTCATACAGGAACTTCTTAGAAAGAAAGAAAAGAAGTTAGCAGTATCCTTTAACTTTACTTTCTGCTATATAGATATGTTCTCTCACTAAATAATTCAAAATTTGGTGAATGTGTTGACGCATCTATCCCATCAAACTTGCAACAAAGGATGCAACAGATACAGTTAACTCTGCCTCATATCTTGACTTACATCTAGAAATTGACAATGAGGGTCGGTTGAAAACAAAACTTTACGACAAAAGGGATGATTTCAGCTTCCCAATTGTGAAGTTCCATTTCTATGTAGCAACATTCCAGCAGCGCCTGCATACGGAGCATATATCTCCCAGTTGATACGATATTCCAGAGCTTGTATTTCCTATCATGATTTCCTGGCTGCTCACAAGGAAGTTATTAAACCAAGAGATGGGTGCCGCATGTGGAGCAGTATCTGCTTACACTTCCAGACCACCAGGGATCACACCCAGTTTGTGGTGGGGTTCGTGTTGCTCAGTCTTTATTTTCTATGTTGTGTTTTGTGTACTATTGTTTGTCTGTTGGTCGTTTTCTTTTTTAGCCATGACGTTGTCAGTTTATTTTCGACTTATGGGTGTGACTGTCCCGTTGGTATCTTTCGGCTCTCTTTTAGATGAGTACAATTTTTTGTAGATTTTTCTCTGTTCTTCCAATATTTTAAATTGATCCAAGATTTTGTCCCAATTTTCATTGATGACTTTTGAAATCATTTTTTCATTCTAATGTCTTTTTTCTAAATAACAAAAGTTGCTTGTACATTTTTCTCCTTTTGCTTTTGGTCTTGCAACTATTTATTTGTTTTTTCTCTAAAAGTTTTTACTTTCCTTTATGTTTTGAACTTCAGTTTTTGGTTCCTTATCTGGGTGCAAGTCATGTCTATTTTGTAAGATTTTAACTGTTGTTCAAACTCAGATTCTTCACTTTGACTTTTTTTTTTGAAGTATGAAATATAACAGATAGTTTTCACTCTTATTGTACATTTCAATAACTCCCAAAATATATGGAGTCTACAGATAGTTCTGTTTCTTCACCAGGATCTGTTTTTGATAGGTTATATTGATTAAACTTTTTAATCGCATCAACATAATAAGTGTCATGTAGTAAGCTATTATTGAATGGATTATAAAATTTTAAACCGTGAGAAACAGCAGAAAGGTCAGAACGGTAGCTAGTATCTATATCAGATTTATTTACTAAGGGAGCTACCATTTGATTTTATGGGGGGGGGGGGGGGGGGGGGGGGTGGGGGCTAGCACGAAATTTGAAAAAAAAGGACTTGAACTTCATTCCAGTCCTCCGCCATAATAATTGACGAATTTTGAAATAACCTCCTGATCTTCTGAGATAAAATCTGGATTATCATTATTGGGGCCACATATACAAGCTAAAATCACTCGAATCCATGAATGGTCATTTCTAAAATTAGATCATTTTCCTCTTTATGTTTGTATTCGTTATGAACAATAACTTTGAATTTATTATTCATTAGTATAGCAATTCCCTAGTCCAAATAGTTATGACGTCTTGAAAGGCTATTTTATTATTTTGCTGTGACGCCTTCCTGTAGAACTGTTCCAATGTATTGCTCTGTATTAATATAACTAACTTTATAGTTATACTTTATTGAATATCTTTCCCCTAGATATTCAATAACTAATTTAAAGGGATACTTTAAGCTGTAGATTGAGTAAATTGTTAACAGAAAAGGTGCAATAAAAATTGATTAATAAAAAAAAAAAGTAACTGCTTGCAATAATTTTCAACTTGGGGTGAAAAAAAACAATCCTTACAAAAAGTTGTTTCTGCGATGTTACCAAGTTATTCTTACCCAGTGCACATATATATCTGTCGATATGACCAGACCTATATATCATGTGGTGATTTCCCTTTAGCTTTCTGGGGTAAGAAGGATTTTTGGCGCATGGAGGTCGCCATCTTTGTAATTGCTTCTTGAACACGGACCTCAACGGGAACACCTGTATATTTCAATTGTTTAAACAAAACAGTGCTTATAACAGCTGATTTTTAAAAACGCAGACTTCAACGAAGACAACATAAGGCAATACACAATACACATTTAAGAACTTGTGTAGAAACACACGCCCAGGACAAAAAATGTATAGTATATTTTTTTAAGATATATAAGAGTCTCAATCTAAAGAAAAAACTAATGATAAGAAATGTAAATAACACATATGTTTTAAACATAAAAAACCGGGGAAAAAACTTGTATTATGCACATTGTATCTGAATGTTGTGATCTATCGATTGGTGACAAGCTTCATCTCGGAGATATACCAGTTTAGTCTTCCTCCTGGATTATGTTGATAATTCCCGTCGTTCTTTCAAAAGATTACCTCGACGAACTGAGAGACAGGTGGTAAATCTGGCACGACACTATATCATGAGCGAGGTGGTAATTGTTTTAGCCGCATTGAGAATTTGGTCCCGGTCGATCAGATTCGATAGTCTAAGCATAATACTGCGTCTCTCATCACCAGATAGTAGACGGTGGACTGCGTTGAAAATCATATTGACTGCACGTTCCGGTGGTATGTTCAGTGTATTCTTGTAAAAAGCTCGATAGCCTTTGGCAGTTCCCGTTTAATACGAGCTCCTTGCACACCTCGTATTACGACATTCCACTTACGCCCCCCATAACTCTAGTTTCAGTTGTTCAGTTTGTTCTCTTTTCTATCATTCTCTCTAGGTTGATGTGTTTATTGTGGATTTCATGTAGTTTAGAGTTCATAAATTCATTGTAGTCCTCTATGAGGTCAACTCTTTTTTCAGTTTCAATTTGTGTTTGTCTTCAGCATTTCAACTCCACTGTTGATGTTTAAATGTAATTTTTCGAAACACTTTGCGATGTCCTCAAAGTCTTTATATTGATACGAAGGGAGTGAGTCACTTGTGTTGCTCATTGTGCTCGTGTGGCGGGAAGGAGTTCAAATAGAATCAAATTATTGACACTAAATAAGATTGTTAATGTAAACAATATTTTATTATGAATTATACAAATTACAATATATATTCACATTCACAAATAGGATTCAGAATGTGAATTTGTATTGTAATTTGTATAATTCATAATAAAATATTGTTTACACTAACAATTGTTACAGCCTAATCAAGGTATTTCCATTCTCAATTTTATTGATGACACTTTTGATTCAAATCGCTATAAAATAAAATTGTAGTTCACAATACAATATAGGAAGCTACTATTTCGATATCATGGTTTTTGAACAATATGAACAAATATTTAAGATGGTATTCTAGATGAGCAATGTATGTCCTCAATGTATTTTTCTTTATAATAGATCAGATAAATGAGATAAAGAAACAAACGTTTGCTGGTATTTATTGTCGGAGCCTTAAGTTGAAGTCCATACAGCCAAAGATTTTTGAAAAAGGAGGCACGTATGTATCATGCTTATGAATTTTTACAGTATATTTGGGTTTGATATCATCCGACAGAAATGAAACTTCAATGTGGTTTAATAAAGCATTAACAAACAAAAAACAAACTCCGAGTCAAATTCAAAATGGGGGAAAACATGACAAAATCAGATGTTGTATGATTGCCAATGAGACAAGTCTCCTCCAAAGTTCAAATGAAGTGGATGTATGCAATTTTAGGCAACTGTGCGTCCTTCAACAATGAGAAAAACCCATACCGTATAGTCGGCTCTCAAAGGTCCAGACATAAAAATATGAAACAGTTGAATTAAGAAAACGAACGACCTAATTTAGAACAAAACAATTTACAAAACCCATCCCCAACCACTGAACTACAAAAAGTGGGAAAAACTGACAAAATCAACCGTTATAGAAATAAGCACTGAACTACAGACTCCTGATTTGGGTACAAGGACATATAGAATGTGGCGGGGGTAAACATGTTTGAAGGCGCTAACTCTCCCCTTTACCTGGAACAGTGCTGTACCAGTACAACATAAGAACAACCTATAAAAATCAGTTGAAAAGGGTTTAACTCATCAGATCGATACAAATCAGAAAAACATCGAAAAAAAAACACAGATCGGACGTGACAGGGTATTTATTCATTCCTAAAAACAACAAAGACACAAAGTAACTGATCCTGCGACTACTTGCAGTTACTAACAACTACTTTAAAGCCAATAACAATCATTAAAAAAAAACATTTATCTAGGACTAAAATATCAATCAGTACACATCCAGCATCCCATGGATTTGAAGTTAATATGTCATTAACAGTCAAATAAAAACACGACCTTGTGCAATGGCAAATATAGGTATGGACATATTGTAGTATCATGAATGAGCATATGTGTATAACAATAATACTTGGTTTGGTTCTAATTTACTGATAACAAAATCAATATTCAACCAATAAAAACAATATTCAAAAATCTAATTACAATGTTAAATTGGTAACCTTTTAGAATAAGTTAATTTACAAGGATTGATAAGTTAAGCGGGAGATCGTATCTAAATTTCTGGTCTTGGTAAAAAACATCACCGTAAAAATTAGGACGGGTTATTCCGTGTGAAATAAGTTTTCTACAGGTACAGCCAAACTTGCAATCCAAATCTTTAAATGTGGTAGAACTTAGTAAAGGTTTAAAGTAATTTGTGGTAACGGAATCCCTGACTTAATAATTTACCAGAAATAAATCAGATATGATAATTGTAATCCAAAACGTCACTACATACACGGGCATAGCAAACAACATTGTAAAACGGTGCCAATGCACATAACCGTCCCAAAAAGTAAAGGTAACAATAGGGAAAGAAAAATCGTCCTTTTTGTCCTAAATTTTTGTATAGAGTTTCTCGCGTTATACTTATCCAACCAACGGAATGAATGGAAAACAAATGTTATATTCGTGACTTGGTGCATACATTTTTTGGAGAAAATGGCGTAATAAACCTTTTGTTACAGCTAGTATTATCTCCCACTGTTATTACAGTTGCTAAACACATATATGAACTTTAATTGTACGTTGATTGATTTCCATTGATTAAATTAGATCGATTTTGAAAAAGGCATTTACAATCCTTGTACCTAACTTTGTTTTTTTAGGGATTTGATGAATAAAACAAAATTCAATAATTGACTACATTATATTGTTGTTCTACTGTGTATTATATGAGAATCAACATTATAACAAAATGTGGAAAAGAATAATCATACACACACTCCTGCACTTGTACTTATATATCATACATCAACTTGTATATTGCAAAGAAAATGTTATCTTTGTAAAGAACTGCTCGGTATAAACTGTAAGTTCTGTTTAATTATATATATAGTTAATGGAAGTTGTCTAGCTTCACATGTGACAAGTCTTGTATTTTCTTTTCAGAAATCGGAGACTACATTGTGATTCAGTTCCATCACCAGATCTTAATCTTTGGAAGGAAAAATAGAAAACATTTGAAAAGATCTAATAAATATGCCACGAAATTTCTTATTGTTATAGGCATACGAAGGGAACGTGAACAAACACGAAAAATACCACAGGGACATTTAAACTAATCAGTCGAAAATAAACTGACAACGTCATGGCAAAAAAATTAAAAGACCAACAGACAAACAACAGTCCACAAAACAAAACATAGAAAACTAAAGTTTAAGCAATACGAACACCACCAAAAACTGGGGGTGATCTCGTGCTCTGGAAGAGTAAGCAGATCCTGCTCCACATGTGGCACCCGTCGCGTTGCTCATGTAAGTACAAACCCAGTGATAAGTCTAATTCAGTAGGTCACATTTTGGGAAAAGGGGACGGGATTGTAGTTACGACAATTGGAACATATTAGTCCTCATCTGTGAAACAGATATTCCATAATAGTTAACCAACTCGTGACAAAAAAATGAACATGAAGTAAAAACCATCACATGTTTACCAGATAACCTTGCTTTAAATGAGTTTGATTCAACCTCTAGTAGTAACGTGCTGAGCAAGTTAGCAGAAATGAAGACTTTTTTTTTTTTAAGTTCTTTATTTGTTTATCAAGGTGAATATTTTGAATATAGAATTCTAGACACACACACACATGCGTATACTTACTTTTTCATCTCGTTTGTTATCTGTCTCACAAACTATGTGTGTTTTGTATTTAAGGATAGAACATTGTATTAAAGGAAAAAGTGTTGAAAGGCCAATTAACACGATATGAATACTTCCAAGTATTAAAAAATAAAAAAACACATGCCCTTCAGCACAGGCAAGTAAAACTACTGATCGGTCAATTACAACTACACAGAAGCAATACAAGTCTAAAGAAATTTGAAGAAAAAAACAGTTAGTGGGGATTGGAAGTAAAGGAGTTTTTCCGTGAAGACTCTGCAGAAAAAAAGATAAGGTCGTTTTGCAAAATGATTTGATTTCAAAAAAATATTGTAAGACAACAAAAGGTATTGTTCTAGACTTTAACGGTGCTTAACCAACAAATGGCTAGATTAAACGGTGTAATACAAAAAGTTTCAGTAAAATGTGTTAAAACTTCAAGTTTTTGAACAAATAAATTTATTATATAAAATCTAGGCGAAATGACACAGTAAAAACAGGAATCCGTGCAAAACAATACACCCTGGACGAACCAAATCCATGTGATAACAGGAATCAGAGCAACACGGCCCGGATTTAAATAAATAAAGCCAACAGCAGGGCAAAATAAAAATTATGTTTGCCAAAAAACGCGGTCGTCCTCTCTTCTTGCCGACTTGTTCCTTTATTCATAAGAGGCTGATTTCATACAGGAACCTCGTAGGAGAAAAGAAAAGAAGTTAACAGTATCCTTTATCTTCACTTTCTGCTATATTGATGATGTTCTTTCACTAAATTATTCAAATTCAAAATGTTGAACGCATCTTTTCCATCGAACTTCAGATAAAGGATACAACAGATACAGTTAAGTCTGTCTCATATCTTGACTTACATGTAGAAATTGACAAGGAGGGTCGTTTGAAAACCAAAACGTTACGACTAAACAGATGATTTCAGCTTCCCAATCGTGAACTCTCCATTTCTATATAGTAGTAGTCCAGCAGCGTCTGCATACGGATTATATATCTCCCAGTTGATATTCTAGGTCTTGAATTTCCTATAAGAATTTCCTTGATGGAAGGTTGCTGCTCACAAGGAAGCTATTAAACCAAGGGTTATGGCTAGTTACGACAATAAGCAAGACTAACTATATCATTGCGCAAAAACCTACACAGACGGCCCCAGATTTCAAACACATGAACTACCGTGAATTTTTTTTTACCGTTATCTAATGAATTAATTACCAGAAGATAAAAAAAAAAAAAAATTTAAATTTCAAAACTATTACCAAAACGAGACACCTTTACATCAAGCATACTTTACAATTTTCTGCATGCTCATTTGCAAAACGTTCCCTCAGGCGATTTAAATATTGTGTACGTGCTTTATATTCATGTATGATAACTAATTTAATGTATTCTATAAAAGCCTAAAAACACTTTTCATTGTTGTTTATTTTTAACCATACTTTTTAATGTCTTTTACTTTTCGTGGAAAAACCTTTTGCTTTTGTTCTGATTATTATTTTTTTATATTTTTTTTCTGCCGTCTGAGATTTTTTTTTGGTTTCTTGATATATCGAAAGGATTTTTGACCCATGACATTGTACAGTGATTACGATTTATCCATTTACCCTGCGTAACCGAAAACTCATAGGAGTTATCTCCCCGCTACCCCTTGTTCTTGTTATCTTTATTTCTCTGTAACCGTAAATGATATCGACAAAAAAAATGTTCCCAAATTGTGCGTCTGCTCTTAAGGATGTTTTGGTGAAGTTTAACTGAAGTGACCCAATGACATCTTATTGGAGTTATTTCCCTTTTCAAATTTAACGAAGGTGATATGTTGAAAAAATTCATACACCATAAGTCGTAGAGATCTAAAGTCTTTTGATTTGAAGTCCTTGGTCTATTTGGAGGAAATTGAGGTCAAGGTCATGTTCTCAATTTGAACTTTGCTTGTTTTTCAAAGAAACCGTAACAGTTAATAATAAAATGCTTTATATATATATGATATAAAACAGTTTATACGCTTTTATTACTGACACCGCTTAACCGAATACTTTTACTTGTAAGAGTTATCTCCCTGAACACTTGTTATTTCTTACAAACCTGTTCGTGCATATTTCATTGTTATTCATAGCAAAATAATTGTCTAAGATACCTGGGACGATCTCACTACACAAAAGATCTCTTTTGTTTGCTTATTGTACCTCGAACTTATTAACCCGGTGTAGGTCTTTAAGTTGCAGTTTTTTTTAATAAAAGTCAATCGATCATGACTAATAAGACACGCCCTCTTAAAATCGGGGGGTCCAACATAGGATCGGGTAAAAAAATGAAATACCATTATGTACAATTTCAGAGAATCAAAGTGTTTTTGGTTGATTTAAGGTTTATGACCCCTTCTGTGGCCTGTCAATTACGAAATTTTCAAACTTCAATAGCATAAAAACAGCAAGATAATGAATGAAAGAGATGGACCATTTTATACATACATCAAGGGGAAACTTAATGCAACAAATTATTATTTATAGTTTAATTGCATTTAGCAGGAAAAGAGAATTTGGTGAAAATAAAACCAACATTTTTGTAGAAAATCCACAGACTTTAATACAGAGAATTTTGTAATAAAATTTTAAACATAGATTACTCACTTGTTTTTCTATGATCAGCTAGCGTTTATTGTTAACAAAGAGTCATAAACAACCTTTAAATTCCAAAACACCTCGTGCTGAGTCACTTAAGTCGAGCGCACCCTAAAAGGTGTACTTGAATTGGTCCATTTTTATATTTGTTTTAACCAATATCTAAATTTATAAACTTGTTTTAAGGAAATCATTGCTAGCACGGCATGCAATAATCATCTATCTATCAAGTATTAAATTGCCAAATATGAGAGTACAAGGGGAAAGGCTGTGGATTTTCTATAAAATTTCCATATGTTTAGCATTGAGCCAACACAAGGGTACATAATCCTTAATATCTCCGGTCAATAATCAAACGGTATTTGAGTGGAAATACAAACATGTTCGAAACCGGGAAATGCAGGCTGCAAAAGGAATTTATTTTCAAAATAAGTCCATATTTCATTTACTTACAGTGGCCGTTATTGATTGTGAATTCATATCGTTTCGTTTTTGGCATTTGTCTACCGGAAAAAAAAAGTGGGGAGGGGGACTCATAACTTAACTTTATTCTTTTACGGCATACGTTTTACCATTAGTCAACGCTCCATCTTATCAAAGTGATGCTCTAAAATTGTTATGATTTGCTTGAGTTTGATCCACTTTACATCTCGTCGTTAATATGCATGAAATATTTGCCACTGGACATCAAGGGAGCAATTTATTAATCAGCACCATTAAGTGTACAATCATTAGTCTTCAGTTGATTGTTATCTCAGGCAGTTTACCAATATTTATAAATTTAATTTTCAAGCGTTAATTTCAGCATTTCTTTCCTTATTTTTCTCTTTGCATTTAATCTTTTTGAACATAAAATAACGTATGAATGTCACTAGGTTTTTCAAAAGTCAATTAAACCACATATTTACCGAAACAAAAGACAGTAATTGTTTTATTCCATGTTCCGAAAGAGAAAAATATGTATTTAATAACAGTTATTTATGAAAACCAATTGTACGTCAAACATTTCACCGTTATTATACACGTAAAAGTAGACGGCGTTTTCCGCGGTGAATATACTTTTTCAGCAGGTGAATATGCTTTTTTATTCAAAATCCAATTCATATAGAAAACCCTACTAAAATTCTATCAATATTGAATAATAAATGAATATTCAGGACAATTACATGTAAATATAATATGAGTATAAACCCTGCTTTGTACTAGATCGACACGCTGAGCCCGTTTTTTTACGCGTAAGTTCACATGAAGATATAATTTCGCAGGAACAATAGTCACCCTACCCGGAAACATTTCTGGCTCCGAACAAACAAGTCTGTGCTCTTACTTTCAAATACCGCTAGTTTAGCGTTGAAACAGCAAATACATGTACCATTTTTACGTCTTTGTTAGTCCCGGTCGAGATTCGAACCACGACCTCCCGATCTCGAGGAGAACACACAAACTAAACAAACAAGGAGAGCGATAGTACAGAATATCATACCAAAAACTAATGTACAGAGATAAATAAAATTCAGTTTCACAAAAATTTCATAGTTACTAAAGTGGTGCTAAAAGTATCAAACCGAAATTAGAAATGTTAAATTATTTTAGAAACTACACGTAAAGATGGATGGCCGACTTCTGAATAGATTTCATGGATCAAAGCTCTTTGAAAATTCACTATTTTTGCGCCAATTATTTAAGGGGTTCGGATGTGGCCAGCTGTTGCAAGGCTAATTTCTGTCTTT